CCAAATGAGCCATCTTGCTCAACCGGTCGACGAATACCACAACACCCGTGTTGCCCGCGGAATCTTTCGGCAGGCCATATACAAAGTCCAAACTCATGGACTGCCAAAACCCCGTGGGTACCGGTAAGCTGACCAGCGGCGCAGCCGCATTTGGAGAGGGTTTCATCCGTTGACACGTCTCACACGTGCGCTCATAGATGCTCGTCCATTTGTATAGCTTGGGCCACCAATAGTGGTGACCCACAGAGCTGTACGTTTTTTCACGACCGAGATGACCACTGAGTGGCGTATCGTGAGTCTCATAGAGGATGCGTTATTTCAAATCCTCATTATGAGGAACCACAATTCGTGGTGTATCCGTTGAATCGGTACAATAATATAGCAAACCGTCATCCAACAAATATCGGTGCAATCGTGCACGCAAGTCTTGATGACAATTTCTTGTCCGAGTTTCCAAACTCCTTGCTCCCTAGAGCCCGTAGCAATGCCATACACATCTCATCACCCGCATACGCGGTGCAGATCAAATCTGTCACAAACGACGTTACAGTTGTAACACGAGCAAGCTCATAGAATGGTCTGCGTGACAACGCATCAGCCAAAGCATTCTGCTTTTCCGGCTTATACGTCATCTCGAAGCTATATTTCGCAAAGATAGATCGCCATCTAGCCATCTTTTGCGAGAGGTGGGGCGACTGAGTCGCAGTGCGTAGTGACGCATGATCTGTATAGACCACAAAGGGCTTGGATCCGAGCAGGTGGACCCTGAACCTGACAAGCGCATACTTCATAGCAAGTAGCTCCTTGACATTGACTGGGTAGTTCTTCTCTGCAGCTTTAAGCTGTCGAGATTCGAACGCGATCACCCGATCTCGCCCCTCTGCGTCTGCTTGCAGCACTGCACAGCCGATGACAAAGTCCTAAGCGTCACAGATGACGCTGAAAGAACGATCAGGGTCTGACAGTGCCAGTATTGGTGCATGCAGGAGGCTCTCTTTGACCTCGTCCAAAGTCTCCTGATGTTCGGTGTTTCAACACCATTCCGCATCCTTTTTGAGGAAATTGGATGATGCCGGGCCATTTCTGCGTAGTTTACACTGTATTTGTAGTTGGCAAGACCAAGCCACTTACGCAAGTCCTTGTGGTCCTTCGGAGCCGTCCAGTCTACAATGGCCTTGACCTTAGCGGGGTCTGCTCGAAGCCCACGCTTCCCAATAAAGCACTCTAAAAAGGAAGTCTCTTCTGCGCCAACGATCCACTTGTCTGCATTGGCGTACAGTTTGTTCGTGCGCATGCATTCAAGCACCGCTTAAATGGACGATGAGATTCTTCTTATCTGTCCTCCCGTGCTTCGCACGATTATGAATGAAAATGTCGTCAAAGTATGTCTGTGCATACGCCCTGAGGGGCCTGAACAACTGCGTCACAAGACGATTTAATGTTGCTGGTGCATCTGACAGCCCTTGAGGCATCACCAGCCACTTCCAGAGCATGCCGCTCGGAGTGCTACGCCGCTGTCTGCGGAATATCACTCGCTCTCATGAGCAATTGGTAATACTCATCGACCGGGTCGAGTGCACTGTACTTCGTACATCCCACCATGTTGTTCTGAAGAACATCCTTACTAGGAATCGGCATCTGTGCCGGAAAAATGGCAGCGTTGAGCTTATTGTAAGCATGAACGATACGCCACTTGTCGTTCGGCTTCCGAACACAGAATGGGGAGACTTGCTCTCACGTACCATCACTGCGTCGTGCTTCGCAATAAAAAGGCGTCAATGACGTTGCACTGCTCCTTGAGCAGGGGCCATTGGCGTGTTACGCTTCCCGAGACT